ATTCTAGAGTACAATTCTTTCATAATATTTTTACAAATGCTGATTATATTCACATTTATTAACGTTTGTTGTGATTACACGGTAGAATAACCATATTTATACCCATAGCAATATGGTGGTGCCCCTTTAACACCATTTAAAATACACATGTTCAGTTCAGAGGCACTCCCACATTGCTAAGGGTTTAAAACAAATGTAATACCGTAAATATTTTGTTGGGATGGACTGCGGACCTAGGAGTGGCCTCTGCTAGCAACCATATGACTACACAAGGCTATTACATACTATACCCGCCTTCACTCCGTCTTCAGCAAGGAGTGAATAAGGTAGATAAGCTTGCAACTTCTACCAGCTTTTTGCAAGCTGGAGGATTGCTAAGGACTCAATTATGTGGGGTTTGTTGCAAGCCTGTATGTTTGCGCCCCTAACTTCCATGTGAGAGAGAGGAGTTGGCGTCCATGTGATCCCAGGCATAAATACCCAACAACATTTGAGAGGTGTGGCCATCTTACCCTAAAAAGCTGTCGAATTTCTTCATTAATCATTGAAAAATGCCATTGGCGTAAAAAAGTGTGGAGCTAGTTTTCTTGCAGTTGTCGCTGTCAAATAAATTTAAAGCTAGTAAACTCTCCCAGTGTAATTTTTAAATTTCCACTTATTGGGAAAACTGGAGGTTTGAGGTTAATCTAAACACTTCTGAGCCTAAACCTTCACAGGTCCAGGTGTTCCTTCTCTACAGTGTCAACTCCATTGGGAGGAATCACAAATTTGAATGCTGAGTCTTGCAAAACATCAAGGAAATTCCTTGCGTAATCAATGCCTGTATAAGGCTGTATAAAATTTTATAACCTGAGAATTATGAAAAATGTCAACTGCCGATATTACAATCAACAAATCTTGCAATAAATCCCATTTATACTCCCTTCACAAAATTTAGGCGGTTTTTAGGTGAAGAAATCTATCCCCTCCAATTAATCCTCCCTTCAAAATAATAGCTCACCAGCTATTACAGGTTTTCCAAAACCTAAACCAGCTGTGACGTATATATGAAACAAAAAGTAGTGAGGGAACTTCCCTTGAACCGCCTAAATTTTGTGAACAAACTATATTGAGTATAATATTTAATATTCAATGTTTTCAAAATAAAATATCATTATTTATTGCCTCACACACAACATAGTTACAAAAATCATGTTACGATTGAAAAATTCTACAGCAATTAAATTACAATGTAATATAATATAACACAAAACAACATGTTTAATCTCCAACTAAATGCTGTGACTCTTCAGTTTCTCCAATGTATACGGTACTTCTTTAATAGCTGTATCGGCTCTTCTAATACAGGTAGGGAAACTTTTCCACCAGAACAACTCATTCCAGCAGGCTCATCTTTCAATTTTAATGTTCTGCTGTGTATACATTCTCTGTTCATTTGATATATTTTTCACATTTATAATATTAGTATTTATGAGGACTGTCTGTTAGTTAATGTCTTCAACAAGCAAACATCGCAAATCGCAACGTAGTAAGCTAGTTAGACTGGACCAAGACAAGTTACGCCATATTCTTTACTTCCTCTACCACTAATCTATTATTTTAGACATTTCCCACATCTAAATATCCTTAAACTGTCAACGCTCCTGCAAAATAAGAATTGCATCTTATGATTAAATGATTCTGGTTAAATAGATCAACCCTATACAAATATACATTGCTTGGTTACAGATGTTTAACAAGGAAAGTGTATTTGAAACAAAAATATGTGCTTAAGTAGTAGAGGGGGGTTTAAGAAGGCTGTACACATTAACACATTTGCATGACATGGCCAGTCCAGAGCATCTATCAGTTTCAACTGACACTGGCGTTTATAAAAGAAATCTTGCTAGCAGATAAGCCTATGAATGTATGAGAGATTGCTAAACTGGTAAAGGACGCCACTAATACTACCATTGACGACAGAAAACCCTACTGTTCTTACACACGACAATTCGCAAGCAAAATATTTTTACTTTTGTTACTGTCTCAATAAAAACTTATTAATATTCAGTCAGTCGTGTACGGCATTCTGCAATCTCCCTAACCACTAATGCACATTTTCCCATCCATAAACTTTTCCACTGTGCGTTGTATAAATTAGGGGACCGGGCAAAATAGTGTAGTGAGGGTAGTAAAAACACAGAAAACACTAATGCACATTTTCCCATCCATAAACTTTTCCACTGTGCGTTGTATAAATTAGGGGACCGGGCAAAATAGTGTAGTGAGGGTAGTAAAAACACAGAAAAGGTCTTAGACATGAACTCCGCTCCCTCTATTGTGACAGGAGTCGGAGTACTTAATTAACGGACAACCCTTGTATGCCATATAAATCTATACAGTACTTGTTGCTATTAGTTTCCAACTTTTAGTTACTCTAAATCTGAATCTGTTCGCCAGGCGAGATCTTTTCTTTAACCGTTCCCGGACGGGTGACGGATATATCCTTCTAAGTCTTTGGCGATAAAGGACGGGTGGCGGATATATCCGCTTATGGTTTTTGATGTTCCGGACGGGAAGCGGATATATCCGCTTATGGTTTTTGATGTTCTGGACGGGAAGCGGATATATCCGCCTTCTCTTCAGACAGACTGGCAGGTGCTTGAGCAGTAACCAGATGTTTTGCCGTACCAAGGCGCCACTTTCCTGCTCTTTCATGGCTGCGCTCTCTCCCACACTCCCCCCCTCTTTCCTTCCCGCGCCTACCCTCTCCCACGCCTCCCCCTCTCCCGCACACCACTCACCTCTCCTACGTTCCCCCCTCGACGTTTCGTGCTCAACACTACGTTGTCTTTATTTATTGTTTACATATTGTTTTTTATTTATTACCTAACGTTGTCATGGTCATAACTTCAAAGGCCAGGTGGCGGATATCCGCTGCTTTTCTACTCATCCCCGGACGGGTAACAGATATAACCGTATAGTTAAAAACGAGTAAAAATTTATTTTGACAAGATGAAGTGTTCCATTGTGTTTATTTTATGTATACTTGTATAACAAAACACAAATAAGGAAAATTAATTTGTTTTTTCCCTATAATTTTTTCCCGTTCTGTGTCACGATTTCGCCCGTCCGGGAAGGGTTTTAAATTTACAACTTTCATACATAATTCAGGGTCATTGTCAATTGTAACTTACACATCTAAAAAAAAATTGTCTGTACAAAGTTCTGATCTAATGCAAAATAAATTAAGACAATGTAGCAACATTAATCTTTACTTGAAAACCAAGAATGTGTGCTGTCATTGGAGTATGCAAGTGAAGGTAGGAGGAATCATTGGATGATTTCAAGAACCTGATTGATTGAGTAGTTGGGACTCAGTGGCAGTGTGGTTAGCTGGTTGTGTGATAAACTCACGGCCACTTCCCACACTGCCCTTGAGACCAGCTTACAACATCAAATGTACCACAAGAATCTTCAGGCACATCAGCTGTCTGCAGGGGTAGTACCACCAGACTCAAGCCTGCCTTCTCTCCAAAAGCATGTATACACCACTGATGTTAATTTTATTGTCCCCGATCATTGTAACACAAAATATAAATACTATAAATGAATTGTGTGTTTACAATTAATTCACCCAAGATGTCCTGTCTGTACCATTTAAAGGTTTAGTGTTGACCATTACTGTTATTTTAATCTAGTTTGTCGAATAGAAAATAAGTTTGCATACATTTTGTTAGTTAGTTCAAACACACTTAAAAACTGTAGATACAAGAATGTGAATTGTCTAATATCTGTTGTACTGTATTGGCCAGGTTGGTAAATCTGAAATAATTAGGTTATTCCTTTATTTTCTTAAAAAAATTAAAATATATAGCCTGCAATAAAGTGAACATGTAGGTGTTGTTTGATTTTTTACTAATATAAAAGTAATCAAGGAGACTTATCCTCTGATGGCAAATGTTTCTTCGTGTGTATAAAGAGTTAGGTATAAGATTTATGTGTTTTACAACAACTAACTATGCCCGTATAACTAATAACTCAACAAAATTGGCTGAAAACTATATCTGACAAGTGCTCCAATCTGGGTGTTGTAGTCTGAAACTACAGTCAATCAGTTGTGATGGTGTGGTTGACTGGTAAGTCTGATAAATGGCCGATTGGTCTAGGGCACTGTCTCTCCAGCTAGGAATCACCATTTGTCTCGGCCAGATCTGCTCGTAAGGAGTTCAGCTATCTGAGACAGAGTCTGGCTGGAGAGGGGCCCACCTAAAGTAAACGGCGGACAGCTTGGGCAGAAGTTTATAGGATGGGTTGCATCTTAGGGCCCATCCTAAGATTGGATCATAATTTGGCGCGTACTAGCCCGACCACGGCTCCGACCGGTTAGATACGGCCAGTTTTACTATTGGCGTAAATGAAACAGCTCACACTGACTGGTTGGACCCTGGTCGGATGACCAAACTCAAGAACTTGGTCGGGCCCGACATTCCGGCTGTGGAAGCCAAAAATATAACACATTGTAATGGTGCAACGTGCACTGCACCGTCTTTATTCCGACCCGACCAGTAGGTGAACTCGTGCTCTGACCGCAACAACGACCCGTCTAGCTAGTGCGTGCCTGCCCTTAAAGCTGGCATTTTGATTTTTACTTATCCTTACTGAGTGTGTACCCACTGAAAACTTGGTTTGAGAGAAATTAGAATTGTGTATCTAGTTTTGTATCATGTATGGTAAGATATTTGGGCCTCACAGGGCTGAAAGGGTCTACTTATCTCAGGTAGACCTGTGTTATCTCCAAGAGAAGTTATAGATGTATGGCATAGCGCGTGAGATGTTCCTCTTAAACTTAGCGAAATACATTAGCATCACAAGACCAATACAATGGTGAGGACTGCCTGCTACTTATATGAGTAGAAGGGGCACGCTCCTATGGTTTACTCTTGATAAACCATGTACCGTGTTGAACAATGTAGTTCAAGCACAATAGCATTGACTAACTTTTTAAATGTTTGTTGCAGTGCGGCGTATGTCTCTTTTGGTGGCCTGTTGATGCGACTACAAGGAGACCCCAACAACTTGCACGGGTTCGAGGTTGACCAGTGTCTCTACCTTCTCATGAAGAAATTAGCATTTTAACTTCACACTCCTGAAAGGAAGACCCTGCTAAGACACTGCCAAGCTATAAATTGAATAAAACAATGTCACAGTAACAACAACAATATACCTGTTGTAGTTTTACTTTAGTATTTTTCTCTCTTTTGTTTCTTCATTGTTTTTTTGTAATGTGTAATAAAATATCTACTGTTTTAAAAATTTGAAAGATTTTGAATCCATTCATAAATAAGAAATGTTTGTCTGATAAAAATATATTAGGGCCTACAAAGTTTTATATTTTTAATTACAGAAAACTGTTGTTTATGCTGAGCAAGTTGTTTGACATTGTACAACAAATATGAATGTACAAATCCTTTGTAAACTGACGATATCTTAACATCTTTTTATATGTAAGAATGATATTTTTAAGAAGGTTTTGTAAAATAAATTGATTTTATAATTTCTTGTATAATTATTTCCTAGTACCGGGAGAACGGCTCGGTACGTTTATTTTGATTGTAAAAGCAATATAAAGGAATTCTTTATAATTAATTTTGGCTTTTATTATTTAAGTTTCAGTGGAATTTCAATTTACTATGCTGAAAATTTTAACTTGGCAATCCAACACATTAATTTATTTAAATCTTACACATATCTTACGTTGTAAATAAATAAAACAAATGTTAAAAAATAAAGAAGTATTTTTTTATATCAGTTCTTATAGTAGGAATTAATATGCTATCACAGGTTGCAGTAGCAATCAGCTACAATAGCATTAATACAGCATAGTACAGTGTATGTAAGGTGTGTGATTTATTTTTTGGTTTGGTACTAAATTAAATCTTTTTTTAAGTATAAGAGAAGATGACATCCCATCTATATGGATCAGGTGTCGCCAATTTTTTACTAAAAAAGAACGTAGTTGTGTAAGCCAGTCACAGAATGCGCTAGTGTCTAAAAGTCTATTTTATACCTTAGTTATTGTTGCTGACCAGGTTGATGGGTTATAACAGTTGTTATAGCTCACCATAAGTCATTCCCTAAGTTTGACTCGGTAAAAAGGTTTGTGTACTTGACAGAATTTAGTAATTTAGATCAGTGCAATCTGTAGGTGGCTCACATCAATTACGACAATTTTGATGAAAAACCTGGCTACAAATTTAACATGGGGATGGAATTTCTATAAGTAAAAACTTCAGCATGAGTATCCTCTCTAAAATACTATCATATAATGGATTAGCTGAAGACAGATAAGTCTGGTTCAAGCGTGTATTGCTTACTATAAAGATTATTGTAATACAATTTACTTTAATACTAATTCAACTGAATACAGCTGTCCAAATTATGTACTTAAACAATAAAAGAGGGGAAAAAATTGTTAAATCTAACCTTAAATAAAAGTGAAACATTGAGTTGACGCCAGTGCACTCAAACGTCACCAATACGAAACACTTTTCCCCAATGTTGAGTAATCTTCAGTGTAATCTTTGCTCAATACAGTAGTTACAACTGATGTTTTCCCTTTTTACTGTATTTTGTAATTTGCTAGTATAGTGTGGATGGCTTGTTGTAAACACTTTTTCCTTGTTATTTTGTTCAACCAACATAGTTACTTAGCAACCCATAAGGCCAATGTTAAATTATTAAATTTTAAAATGAGTTGTGTAGTGAAATACGTATTTTCCTGAGGTAGTGGCTGTCACAAACCACGTTTTTAGGAAGTCAGTCCCTATTTCCAAAATTTAGTAAAAATCCTTCAGCTGGATTTCGAGATATAAATTACAGACAAACAGGCTTAGCTCGTATTATAGTATAGGATAGGATAGGATTCCTTTCTTTAATTGATAAAGATAATTAACAAATCCAATGCATGGCCAGTGGTGTAACACCTTCATACTATATGATCTAGAGTAGTGAGGCAACACATTGTGACCCGACCAGGGAATCATTGAGAGTATGAGGAGAATTAATGGTAGTATAGTATTAGTATATTGGAACAAACCCCTGATTATACAGCAATTACTTATACGGTTTAATTTATTATTACAACTTTTGAAGATAGGAAAATTGGTCAAGTTCATATGGGCAAAAGTATGAAAACTACTATTTTAAAGTGCAGGAATCAGGAATAACTGGTACAAAGAATTGTATTCAGCTCATGTACAATACAGCATCATAAGGTTAAATACAGGTTTTAATTGGCTGAACACAAACATACACTATAGTTCGGCCGCTTAAAAAACGACCTCCTCTACCATTGGTTTAGCATTAGCGTTCAGGTCGTTTTCTAAGCGGCCGAACTATAGTATTTTTTTTTTTTTATTCATTTTGACGTTGGTTCTGAAATGTTACTATTATTAATTAGACTTTTCCAATGTGTCTTGTGTTTAAAACTACACAACATTTCTGAAGACGGATCAAATCCTATCATTCAAGTGAAAATTACTAATTTTTGTGAGAGAGCAATCATGCGTTTGGCTGGCATGGGACAACGAGACCGAGACAGCTGCCGTGGACCATTCAAAGAACAAGCTATACTTATTATAGTGTCACTACACATCTGTCAAACCATTCTACATGCAATAGCTTACCAACAAACCAAACATAGGGATCCACGCCATCACTTTGATAGCGCTGCTGACTCAGATTATCTGGTTCTACAGCCAGAACCATTTATTAATAGTTTAATCAATACAGGAATGTTCTTAACTTCTTACGGTTGGTTTGGACAAGAGTCCAATGTGATCAAACAGGAGGGGTCTACTGCATGGTAGCTAATTAACCTAAAATTTGTAATACTAGCGACTCATTTACGAAATATATGTAGGCCTACCCTGGATGTTCATAAAGCACTCAAATATTTCAACGTTAAAAGGGTAAGTAAAATAGCCTCGTAACTGCAATGTTAACCATTATGGATTTTACACTACCAAATCTTATAGGAACTATACCTATAAAGGTATCGTAAAATCTGAATTAGTTAAAAAAATATGATTTTACCAATGGACTTTGCTTGAAAAGATATGCAATTCATGATGTACCGGTATAACACTATAACTTTTTTAATGGTTTGAAATTGGACCCAGCCAGAGCTGTTCTTAGCAAATGTGATTGTTACAGGGGAAAGTGCTCTGGGGTCGACATGTCAGTAACAAATAAACTGTCATCTCATTCATTCACACATCATTATTCTCTTATATTTGCCATAAAATGTGAACCCTAGTATGTCTGTTGTACAATTATAAACAAATAATGAATTAATTGCTGTATATAGTAGAATCCTGAATATTTAACCTCCAAATATCCAGACAGCTAACAATGTCGCTAATGGCCCTCCTGCACATGGCACAGGGCATTAACCACTAAATCACTTGCATCATGACATGTGAAAATAATAAATATAAATAGCATTAATCTTGTGTTGAGAAAACAAATGTTACAGAGGGTTTAAATTTGTTGATTATTTTCAGGCCATTTTTCAGCCTCTACGGCACTCAGCTTAAAGTCCTTTGACTTTCCAAGCTGTTTGTGTTCTGAATCTGGCAAGGTACTCCAGCACCAAATGGATAAGAGTGATTCAATATATTGCATACCTTTGGTAAAATTCAACACGTACCAAACAGTGCTTGCAATTATTTTTGTGGTATTCAACAAAGAACTGCACTACTTTTGTGCATTCCTTGTCCTCACAAAACCTAAAATTTCCTTTTGATGATAACGTATTGAATTAACATTTCAATAAAGCATTAATTGGGAATTCTCAGCTTTTTCGTTTGGACAGGCCCTACTTAAATTAAGAAGCTAAAACAACTGTTCAGAATATGTAAAGGTCTACCTACATGCCATTCTGTGACTTTATAGCAAGATACTGTTCAAAATAGCAATACTACATTGTGCAATGTGTCTCATTTTCTTCATAGCCCTCTTTCACAAAAGTGCGGTGCGGGCCCTTACTGTATCGTCGACGCGGGCTGGCCCGGAAGTCCCTTTCACACTAGGTGTCCGGATCAGGGCCTTTCCAGGCAGAAATTTTGTGATTTTTGGTGTATTTGAGATTGAAATGAATAAAAAAAGTTGTCATGCTTTACTTGTTGTATTCCAAAAGAAAGTACCGTGAAGTTATTAGGATCAAAGGGGTTTTTAAAAGGCTGATTGATTGTATTTAAAAAAATTGTAGAATATATATGACCCACACGGTGTATATAATCCCTATAGAGAAGAAGATTTCTATGTAGTTGGCACAATAATATTCAGTCCTGGGACCATTTTTTATGTTTTGATGGCCCCAGGAGAAAAAAAAGTAGTTCTGTAGTTCAAATTTTGATCTATATGTATATTTTATTTATGTGTAATCTTATCTTAAATAAGGATAGCAGGCTTACCTGAATGGGAAAGAGTCCAAACTGGCACAGGAAACACAAAACTTTACACTATATACACAAAGCATTAGAATATTTCTAATTTTCAACTATGAAATATTCTGAAATATTCATGAAATGAAACATTCTAATGCTTTGTGTATATAGTGTAAAGTTTTGTGTTTCCTGTGCCAGTTTGGACTCTTTCCCATTCAGGTAAGCCTGCTATCCTATCAAACAATCCTAAAAAATCTAGGCCCTTGTGCTCTATGCTACACCCTTATCTTAAATAAATTAGACATGATTAGTGAAATATTTGATAAAAAATGTAATTATAGGGGCAAATGGAAAATGGTTTGTTGCAGCAGGGATATTGTCCAGCATCACTTGGCTCCAAACCAAACTCATCAAGTGCTCGATATCAATTTATTCCTCCATACTGAAAACAACAAACTTCCTTGGTTGAGAAAATCAACCAATGAAATAGGACATAAAGCCGCGTTTAAACCAGGCCAGTAGAGCAGTCAGGTTACTTGCATCTAATGTATTTTAAGTTACCCTCGCGTAACATACAGGCCAACTGGCTCCTTGTAAAAGCGACTTAAGAGTCGGCAGGACCACCGGCCATCTTGGATTTTCAGCCCATATCGGTAATTTTAATGGTTGAAGTTGAAGCATATTACTGCATTAAGTTGCAAAATATCTCATTTTAAAGCTATTGAAACCACTGATGTGATTTGCAATCTACTTTTCAATTTTAATTGTCATTATGTTGTCAAACTACATAAATATATTGACTTGAACTGTGATTTTTTTCAACCTCTAAAACAAAAGATTTAAATATCCAAAAAGCAATTCCCACGGGAAATTTATTTAAGAATTACATAAAATTTTCTGCTCGGTCAAGCTCCAATCAAGCTTACGGTGCATGATTAATATGTTTCAACATGAAGGTCGTGATCGGTGCTAGGACAACTACTGTTAAGCCTGTAAAATTGGATGTTGTTTGAACCCAGTGACAATACCTGTATTATACAATAATTTATTTACCTATTTTGCCTGAAGGTCTTGTTGTTTGTAGGTTGAACTAGTACTCGATGCGCATTTCGCCGCTCAGTGTTATATCTTCTTACACTACGGTTACTGTACATATTTACACTATATCTTCCATTCACTATCGGGTCCCATTCGCGGTCGGGGTTGTCCAGTGACGGTGTCTTGACCGCGCCAGTCAAATATCATTATAACCCTTTCACTGTCAATCACCCAGACCCAGTACAAGTCGATCATGCCAACAGTGCGGAACAAAATGTACCCTTCCGCTCGTTTCGCCATCGCCGAGCAACCGCGACTGTGAATGTGACCGGATAGTGAATGGAAGATACAGTGTAAATATGTACAGAAACAGTAGTGTAAGAAGATACTCTATGAAGATGCTGCACTGAGCGGCAAAATGCGCATCAAGTACTAGTTCAACCTATTAACCTAATTATTGTAAAATTGGATTGTGAAAATAATTAAATTTTTTAGGAAAGATGAGTGGTTCTTTTTGAATTTTTATTTACACTTTTTCTTGTAGGGATTTAAAAAAAATAATGATTTAAAAAGCTGAGCAAATGCATTCTTAATAACCATAACAAATAAACCATTATAGTGTTGATAGTTTTGCAAGCAACAAAGCAACTTGACACATGTAGTAGCATAACTCAGCTGTTGTAAAGTTGTTATGAGACCGGTTTTCCTTGCATTTACCTTACCACCTGTACCTAATTTCAATTTTTTATACTTTTAATGAAAAATTAATAGTTTTAGATTTTGAACAAGTCACTTGTAAAAAAATGTACCTGAGCTCACGTGATACTAAAATAATCCTATTCTCTAAAACAAGCACGTGTACAGGCAAACTTTTATTTTCGTCCGAGGATTTGAGCAGGAGGGTCGATGAATCGCTGCTCTACGTTTCGTAGAACGTCAGCGCAGTAAAGTATGAAATTCCTTAAACCTATTAAGTCGCCATGTAGGCGGATTAGAGATATTTGATTGAATAAGCATTATGCACCCACATTGCAAGTGGACAATATTCGGAAATTTGAAATACCATGCTGTCCTTGCTACACTTACTTAATGCCAAAACTGGAAAGATAAACATAAACAACGATATTATCCAAAAGCTACTGGGCAAAGAGAAGGTTTGCAAAAGTTCCGATTCAATAATTAACTTTTTAATAAATATTAAAAATATTAATAAATGTTTTATTGAATCCGAGCAAAGCTTGGTCTCCTGGTACTACTATAAGCCTATAAACAGTAAGAATAAAACTAAAATGAAATGGTACAGTCATGAACTAACCCAACAGCGAAGAGAAGTTGAAAAGCTTTACGATTTTTGGCAGTGGGCAGAAAGGTATAATGTTTTAGTTGTCACTGCTAAACAGAGATATGTCGAAGCAAAAGCAAGTTATCGGAGAGCTCTTAACCAGGCAAAACTCAAGTCTAATGCTGACAATATATCCTATGCGCCCAACCAATGCAAACGTGCATGGGAGTTAATTAATAATTCATCCACGGGTAAAACTACTACATCGGCTGACTCACTGACTTCGCAGATCTTCAGTGACTTCTTTGTCTCTTTGGTTGATGATATCCGCAACCAAGTGCCGCCTTCCATTGCTGCTGCTAAAAATATGATGAAGGTGCCCATCAACGTACCAGATTTCACTCTGAAGCCAGTGTCTAGTGAGGAAGTAGCAAATATTGTGATTGGCTTAAGAAATAGTAAAAGCCGTGATATCTTTGATATCAGCAGTGTTCTCATCAAGGAAGTGCTATCTGTGATATTATCCCCACTTACCCTTTGTATCAATATTTGTTTAATGTCTGGTAATTTTCCAGAATCCCTTAAATTATCTAAAGTTGTGCCTATTTTCAAAAAAGGTGATTTTTTATGTCCTGAGAGCTATCGACCGATCTCCGTTGTACCGATCTTCTCAAAAATTTTGGAAAAGGCTGTGATACACCAGGTAACTAAATTTTTTGAATCCAATAATTTGTTTTCTAAATCCCAATTCGGCTTTCGAGGGGGACTGTCAACTGTGGACGCAGTTGGTAGCCTTGTTGTTGCTGCTTTAAATGGTTTTGAAAAGCATGAAAGCACACTCACCACCATGTGTGACCTTTCAAAGGCTTTCGACTGTGTTCCGCACGACATCCTTCTCACAAAACTTGAACAATACGGCATAAGAGGTGTTGAGCTAAACTTTTTTCGGACCTATTTGGCCAACCGCACACAGAAAGTCTTGTATAACAATAAGCTCTCTGAGGTGTCGGTAGTGAAGAGTGGCGTGCCCCAGGGATCGGTCCTTGGCCCATTTCTATTCTTAGTTGTAATTAATGACTTGCCTGTTAATGTAAATTGTAATTCTATAATTTTTGCTGATGATTCAACTTTTTTCTGCAGTAGACCTAATCACAGTTTAGATAATCTTAATGTTTATATGTTCAACTGTCTCATTGAATGTAACGATTGGTTCTAAAGTAGCGGTTTTCTATTGAATAATAGTAAGACTCAATCTATTTTATTTAGTTTAAGTAACCATGATTTAAACTTTCCTCAACTCTGTGATAATGTTAAATTATTGGGTATATACCTGGATTCTAAATTAGGCTGGAGTGTGCACATTGACCATGTTTGTAGTAGGCTCTCAAGAGTTATTTACTTACTCCGCAAGCTTAAAAAATTAATCCCTAGACACTACCTACGGATGGCCTACTTTGCCTTCTTTAATAGTATTTTAAGCTACGGTATTTTGCTGTGGGGCTGTGGTCATGATGTTAGCAGAATCTTGCTCCTACAAAAGAAGGCTTTAAGAATCATTACTTTTTCTAAGTACAGAGCCCATTGCAAACCCTTGTTTATTCAGGAAAAAATACTCACTGTTTTTAATTTATTTATTTATGTGTGTCTTGTTTATATAAAAGTTAATATTAATGCTGTAGCCTTGAGATCACATTCACATAGTTATTTTACTAGACATAGGAATAATTTAGAGTTACCTTTAGTCAGGCTAACAAAGTCACAAGAATATTTTTCTTATATAGGGTTAAAGATGTTTAATCGTTTGCCAGCTGAGGCACACTGTGTTGATCTTAAGTTATTTAAAAGTAAACTTTTTTGCTGGTTATTAAATCACCCTTTTTATAGTTTAAGTGAATTTTTCATGTCTGACATTGATATTAGTTTTTAGTTTCTGACTGATGTAGGCCTTAAATCTGTGTAACTTACTTTGTTGTTTAAATTATTTAAAGTAGCCTAGTTATTGAATGTTATAGGCCCTAATGCTAACCACTGGACATTTCATATTGACCTCAACTATACAAAATGTTTTTTTTTTGTAATTTGTTGTAATAAATTCTTGATTCTTGATTCTTGATTCTTGACTGTACTAAAATAAGGAAATTAATAGAAGTAACAAACAATCAAAACCACATTATGTAATTTTATTAACCAGATTTTAAAAGCGATAACATAACACTTACTGATTTTTCTATCAGGATGTGAAATATAAGAGTGTAACAATATCCAACATTAACTAGCAACTTTCATACTATAAATAAAACTAACGATATTAAATTTGTTCAGTTTAATTTGTATTCACTGTAATAAAATAATCCAAATTAATAAACATAAATCACAATCTTGACAAATAAAATGCAAAAATAGTGCATATAATGTAAACCACACGATATCTAAAGCAATCCATTAACTGTTTCAATAACAGTTAAGAAAGACGGATTTAATACTAATTAGTAATCAGAAATCAAAATTACAGTTATAAGTCACTGTAAAATCACTTCTGTCACATGAATTATTGCTTGGAAAGATGAATTAACTGTCCAAAATATTTAATTCACTAAATAGATATATTTTCATAAAGCACATGCAGCGTACTCTTGAGTCGTAACTTAATAACTACATTTCACATTTCCTTCATAAGACATTTCAATATCAGTGACATTACATTACTGTCCCATCAAAATAAGTATAAAAGCCTTGAAATAAAGTCACTCTTCCTGACACCAATATCACAACCAACTATATTAATGTGGATTAATATAATTCTGCTGGTTTCACATGAATACAAAAGAGGAAATGAAACAATGCAATTTAAAATCTATTTCTATCAGCAACTACTTACTGTCAAGTATGTAATTTCTATTTTCTACTAATTATCACATTAAAAAATTTAGAGAATCTCATTCTCAATAGTTAATTATATACTTATATTAACATTAAAGACATGATTGAAAAATTTGGCATGCCTGTAAAACTTTAAACCTATAACATTTGAATCATATGGTTTGTTACTTTCTAAATGCACCTATGTGATGATAAAATAAGACCTGAAAATATAATATAACAATAATATGTATTATTGAAAAAGTAATAAAACGGGTAATTGAACAGTTTATTTAGATTATTTTTTTAAAGTCAAAACATAATACATTCTTGGGAAAATGTATATATCTTGAACCGATAAGGAGTCTTTTTTGTTTCTTAAAAATAAGGTAAAGTCTTCCGGATAATTGAAAACATTACATCTCTTCAAGTATATCTGCTGTTAACAAAACAAACCGATAGCAATCAATATTATTACATGTATATTTTTGCTGTTTGGTAAATTGTACAATTGGAGGAAGACACAAAATTTTATCAAAACCAACATAACATGAGAATGATTTAGTTATAGCAAGTTAGAAAGGCATCACTCGATTCGATATATTTAATTCTTAAAAATAAATAAAAATTCTATGATCTAAATTTTTAACACTTAAGTTAATAAAGTCTATAATTAGCTAACAAAACGAATACCAACGCACCCGTTTGATAAATGCAGATTATATACATTGCATTCTCACCTCCCCAGATCTGTACATATATACATAATGGCAAGCAAAGCAACATCTACACTATGTACAAGGGTAAATAAATTTGGAGTTGTCTTACGGAACAATGAATCGAATCATTGGGTTCAACCATCAAACCAAACTCCAACTAGCTTTTGGAAATAAGAAACTGAAACAACTAAATGTTATAGTGACTTTCTACATTCTGCTTAGTAAGGGGTTTACTTAATTTTAAGATTATACATTACACAGACAAAACTTACAAAATATTTCTACATACAATACTTCAAAAATACTTCCATTAAACTAAGATTTATTTACGATTAAAATATTATTTATATCTTTTTATATTAAGTAGGTTTGCAAGCACACACTGAGTGAAGTGGAATTTGTCTCCGTTAGTAAAATATTTTAGACAAGTGCTAGGTATCAATCGCAGTCTTCTATGAAGAAGCTGCTTTATTATGATGGGAGAGGTGGTAAATACAAGAAACAAAGTCATCAAAACAATAGGTAACACAAACAATGATAACATATTAACTACAGTAACTATGTTACGTCAAATGTGAGATTTAGGTACTTCACAAGTCATACTCAACAATAAATATTACACACATATAAAAAACCACAAGATTAAAAATTAAATCCAAGCTCCCATGACGTCTTGCGGTATAGCCTAGTTTGATACATTTGTGCTGGTGTGTAAAGCAAATAAATTACCACTAGGGTTTGACAATAAAATCACATCAAATGTAAAAAACTATTCAGATCCTACAATAATAAAAATGTTTAAACATGATCCCCTAATGATATATGTTATGGTATCAGGATGCTGCTAGGCTGCTAGGCTGCTACCCTACCGTGGAAGCCTGGAGCAGGAGCCGAGAGCAGAGCTGTTTACTTGAGAAGGTCGTGAGCGCGCTGGTTGGCCACAGCTATCCTTGTCTCATTGGACTCTCCCTGAAAAATACAAGCAGTGACATGTCACAACCATATAATCAGAAAACTTTGGGAAATTAATAGTGAAATCAGGCCTAGCTTGAGGACATTGTGTAGCCTACACTGGTCATACAGCACAGTACAGTATTGCATGCTATGACCCTGTTGTAGGACTCTACACTGTAGCGGGTACATCAAGACAACCTCTTTGTGCCAAAGAAATCAAAAACATTTTATTGTCCTTTAACATATGCAATAGACTAAAGTCGACAAAATTCAGCGACTACATCTCCAGCCACAAGTCTCTGTACTCAGTAGTTGCGTCCTAGGCACCTGCACTTGATTGTAATTTCTGATTGTTTCAGCTCGCTTTGTACTACACATTCAACTTCTTTTACTTGCATATCTCTCTGCCACCCTTACTAATTCAGTTTGTGTTATTTTTTTATGTTATTTGTGATGACGACTTTAAAACGTAACGTATAAATTTTGATTAAACATATAAAAGAAATTAACTTAAACAAACTTTAAAACTGACTAACATCCTTTTCTCGAATAGCTTGATACATGCAATGCGATTGATCCTATCAATCTGTCTATTCTAGTTTTTCAGCTCAGAGCCCATGTTTGTGGCCATGTTCCGCAAGTTTCCTGACTAACATCCTTCCCTCCCATAGCTTGATACATACAATGTGATTGATCCTATCAATCTGTCTATTCTAGTTTTTCAGCTCAGAGCTCATGTCTGTGCCCATGTTCCGCAAGTGTCCTGACTAACATCCTTCCCTCCAATAGCTGGATACATACCTTGCGATTGATCCTATCAATCTGTCTGTTCTGGTTCTCCAGCTCAGAGCCCATGTCAATAGCCATGTTCCGCAAGTTACCGATCATCGTGTTTACTTGAGTCATGTTCTCTTCCATCTCATCCTCTCGAGCATCGTTGGTGATTCTGCAACACAACATATTTAATTTAGCATTGTGAAAGGCAAGTATTAGGAATTTAACACAAATATTAGTCCCAGTTTCAAGAAAAATTTATAACGTTTAAAATTTTATATTTATATTTGTTACTATGGCCTGATTACAATAAAAAGTCTGAAATAATTCTCTCTGATAAGTGTTTTATATTGCAAGAATGGGTTAGAAATTTAGTTCAGATATTAGCGGTAATTAATGATGAAAAGATAATATACCTACTAAATACTCCAAACCAGACCATATAATTAAATTACTTCTTTATGGATATAATAATTAGAATCGTATATTGAACAACCCTGGTTATGGTTCAAATTTCAAATAATGTTCCAACTAGCTATGTGTCGATTCTCAATACCAATTCTCGATACCACCGATACTTGGCTGTTGGTATCGGCATCCGACCGACAAAAGTCTATTCTGATACCCGCCCCTGCGATCGGAAAATTACCGCTATTGCCGCGAACGCAAAAGACGATGATGATGTTTCTGTGACTGCGGGAGACAACAATGACGTCAACACAGCCGCAGGAGATGTTCATGATTTTTCCGAGACCGCGAAAGACAGTGATGATGTTTCTATAACTGAGGAAGATATTTTGGATTTTGCAGTGATCCCAGAGGACAAAGATGATATCTCCACGACCGCTGGCAATAATCACGATATTACCTCGAGTTAGGCTTGACCAACGATCACATAAGACCAATAGATGGAGCACGCTTATCTAACTAACATTCAAGCAGCTGAAGCCAGGTCCGCCATCTTAATGTAGGTTAGAAGCGCTAGATGCCAATGAAAACGGCACCAAAACTCAATGTCCAGCTTCAAAATAACTTGACATTTAGCCTACTTAGACTAAAGGTAAATCGTTGAAACTTCGTATGAATGATGTCAATAAGTCTAGGACACTATTGGTTCTAATTAAAAGCTCAAAAGTTGGTACTTTTAAATGAGTTTTAAAATATGACATAAAAAAGTTCGTTAGCTGCTACTTTTTTTAATTTTTGGTCAGGTAAGTTAAAAAACCGTAGTTTTTGTAGATAAGAGTTCAATTTTTTGGATCATATTTTTTTTTTAATTTTTAGCTAGTGTAGTTTGGTTGTAATTTAAATTGTAATATAGGGGCTACCCGCCGCGCCGCGTGGCGTCATGCGGGCAGATTCTGCCTACAACCTCACTTGTAATACAGTTTAGATACTCAAGTTCATGATGAAGTCACAAGTTGATGAGTTTGGAGCTATACAGAAAAGTTACTAAACTAATTAGAAAAACACGGAGTACATATAAATGTTCTTCGTTTTATTTTTTGTATTCATCTAAAAATTAATATGTTTTAGCTCTTTCACAAAAATTAATATGACAGTCAGAATATAAAGGAGAGTTGTATAAGAGTTTCAGAAACTATCTTGTGACTTCGAAAATTCGTACATTGTAAACCAAATGCTAGAACTTTATCAAACTTTGATACGATATAGATACATATATTATAAATTAATTTGTAGCTTTTCGGAATTTATCTTTCACCCAAAAAGTTTTTTTTGTTAATTATGTAAACTAACTTTTTCTAAGAAATGGTAAACACTAGAAAACAAATTAAAAACATATTTTGAAGGTCATTGTGTTAGTAATAGAAATGTTTATAATACAAAGGCGACGGATAACATTGATATCTAATAATTGATAAACATAATTGACATTTAATTAGTTGCGCCAGCTATTAGGGCTCATCACAGCTGACAGCCGCCATCTTAGTAAAGATTAGTGAAAAATACTGGCTTCACGTCGCGGCCAACATGCTCCATCTATTGGTCTTATGTGATTGTTGAGCTTGACTGAAAATGTCAGGCATAAATACTTAATGGAAGGACATAAAGACAGGGGTTGGTGTAGTATAACCAATCCATTCAGAAAATTTGGTAAAACAAAAAAAAAATGGTATTGGAATCGAGAATAAATTTTTCAGGTATCGGTATCAAGAATCGATAAATTTTTTGATCGACTCATCACTAGCTGCAACCCATTATTTAAGTAACTAAATAAATACCTATGTAATTTTTGTAGGTATTAAATTCCATTTTGATGGCCCCTGGATTACTATATATGAATAATAACTATGGTAGAATATCTCATCAAGTTATCTTAAAGTAATTCATTCCGGCATGTTTTTTTTTTGTGGTGGCATTATCAATGTTATTTTTAGTTTGTTGGCTACTCATCACTAAAATAAATTAATGACAATTTACTAAAAAAATGTGATTTCGAGTTTTCATCAAAACCCATCTTCAGACTCTCATCCAGACCAGGGGCTGAAGATGGGTTTTGATGAAAACTCGAAATATACCTCCTCATTTTTTTAGTAAATTGTGATTAATTTGTTTTAGTGATGAGTAGCCAACAAACCAAGAATAACATTAATCTTAAAGTAGAAAGTAACCGGCCACCTGACCTTTGTCCTACTAACAACGTGGACAACAACAAGGAAGGAATCTTGACACTGCAGCCTACTAACTGCGCTGGAACCGTCCGTGTCGTGTGATAGGCCTATCAATGTTAATTAAATGTTCGTTTCGTGTCTATTTACTGTGTGCGTGTGACATCGATGTCTTTTATGTTTTGTAACCCCGACGATGACACATTTACGGCAAAAATGTAGGTTGTTAACCTGACATCATAAATTTGGATTACTTAACGAGGTATTGTAACATAATTATTAGTTTTGTAAGTAATCAGCTAGCCTATAAATAGAAGCAGGGTGCTCTGTTCTGTATCGCTTAGTATACAGGGTGTCTCACAAAAAGTGAAGCAATAGCTAACTTTTTTATTAGAGATATTGAGTCAACTCCTTATGGGGGACTTCCATAGTTTAAATTCAAATTTTAAAAATATGTCCGCCATTTTCCAATATGGCCATAACAGTGTTTACAGTTTATACTTATGTTACTTGGTATTTTGTTTATAGCTCAAAAACAGTAAAGATCGTCCGTTTTAGATGAGGCAACAACAGAAATGTTTGTTGTCAATGTAAACAAGTAAATTAGATTAGAATTTTATTAACATTAATATTGAACTAAGACGTTCACGGAAGCGTCGATAGTAGGATTGTAATGGTAAGAAAATACTGTATCATGTTTAAACAAGGTAGGACTAACATGCACAGTGAAAATCGGAGTGAGAGGCCGAAAATAGTCAAGGATGAACTGAATACAAAAATTTAGGAAAACCGATGATTTACTTTGATGACATTATATGACTTAATTCCATAAGTTTCACAATCACCCCTACATGAGGTAGTGACAGATCATTTTGGTTACATGAAAATGTGTGCTCGGTTCGTGTCTAAGTTTGTGACGGATGACCATAAGGTAAATACCCCCGCCGCAGCAAACCTGCAAACTAAGCGAATTTCCATTTCCCTGATTGGATTTACACTAAAATGTCTCCTTAAAAATATCACATTTATTCCCTATTTAAAAAGAATCAGTTTAAAACATAATTAGGTTTGCTGCAACAGGGAGGGTAAAAGTGTTTTTTATGTAAAATGTTAATGGTTGGTAAGAAATAAAAACATTTTCCAAATTTGGGCAAAATATGTTAATAAACAAGCAAACTACAACAGTTTACTTATTCTCCATAAGAATAACATGGAAATTTTAAATTTACAATTTTTTGGAATTTTCTCCGTAAATATTAGGCGCATTATAACGCTTCAATATACTAAATTATTTGTTTTTTTAAGCTCTACAAAATAGTTTAGAAAGAAATTGCAAAATTTTATGTTTTTTGGGTCAAAAATGGGAAAAACCCATTTTTACCCCATAAAAGCCCCCATAAACCCCCGTTTCCATGGTCCGATCATGCTGGTTCGCGAACTCGTTCGAATAAACGTAGGTTTACACGTTTGTACCAAATTTCATCAAAATTGGATCATTTTTGCTCGAGTTATCGCGCTAACGGACACATATATAAATATATATATATATATATAAATATATATATATATATATATATGAATTTGAACGGATGGTGTTTTTGGCCTCTAGGGACCTCAAAACGAAAAAAAAAATGGGTCCTGGGTCCAGGTCTTACCATGAGTACTACGGTAATAGCTTATTCCCTATATGGGAAATTCGCTAAAAACATGGGAATAGCCATTGAATTTTTCGACTCAATATGACAAAGATGGAGACTAATTTCTTTATTCTATTGTTATGGGAGATGAAGCATGGTTTTATATAAGAATCCTGAAAACAAGCGTCAGCCAATGGAGTGGTATCACACGCAGTCATACCACTTTTTTCAAGTCATGGCAACAGTTTTTTGGGACCCAAAGGGATTAATCATTAATCCATGTCAAATTCATGTCGAGACAAGCAACAATTAATGTGGAATGCTGTCGGTGGAATAAAGTAGAGATGTAACGAATATTCGGTTACTATTCGGTATTCGGTCTATTCGGCCAATTTTTCAATATTCGGTATTCGGCCGAATACTAGTTAAGATTCGGCCCAAAACCGAATACCCGTATTTAGTTTTTAAATTAGACTTTGTGGTAAAATAAAACTTTTAGAAATTATTTAAAACATGTTTATTACCAAAAGAACTAACATTTATTTTGAAAACATTGCAAATTAATACTCAAACTTAATTAATGGCAAATTGTGATGAATGAAAACAAGTTTTTCAGCACGTTCTGGAAGTAAGCGGTTGCGTTTAGCCTCATAAATTAGTCCAGCTTCTGAGAACAGTCTTTCACTGTAGACACTACTGCCAGGCGACGACAGATATTTCTTAACTATGCTTGACAGAATTGAGAACTGTTTGGCGTTGGCTGACCACCACTTGAAAGGGTCTCCTTTGCGATCCAGGCGAACAGTTTTTAAATATAAATCAATCTCGGTTGCTGCAGAATTTTTTCCCTCGTCATTGCCACAAGATTGATCTGCTTCTTTTGCGACTTCTTCAAAGCAGTCCCAAAAGCTGGTGTGTATTTTATCACTTCCACTTTGATCGTTTGGCTTCTTGGTAGGTGGTGTATAATCATCATCATCAATGGGTGAATTGTCATCACATTCAAAGTCACAGCTAAGTTTTAGGGCTTCTAATGTTCTTACCCCTCCCCCTCACTATAACAAAGAGACAAGTTGTGACTTGTCTATGAGTCATAGCTAACCCTAAACATTAAAAGGAAATTTACAAGTGTTGCCGAATATTCGGCCGCCGAATATTCGGCGCTTCGGCCTACGACCTCACCGAATACTCGGTATTCGGTATTCGGCCAAAAGTACTATTCGTTACATCTCTAGAATAAAGTATTTTTCATTCATGGCAATATCTGACCTTATGCTTCATCTAAACGCAGCAGGAACTTCAGTGTCTAAACTGGGAAATCTTCAGTTATCCTCACTACAGCCCTGACCTAGCACCAAGTGATTTTAACCAGTTTCCAAAGTTGAAGGAACTTTGGGTGGAAACAAATTTGGAAATGACGAGAAACTTAAAGAAGTGACACCATGGCTAAAATCTCTCACAGCTGATGAGTATAAGACAAGAATATAGGCCTACATTATGGTTCCAAGTTACAACAAGTGTCTGGAAAACAATTGGGATTATGTAGGGTAAGGTACTGTGTCTTTGTAAGTTAAGCTTGGTGTTGATATTTTTTGTTTTTATTGAACCATGCCAAATCGTTCTTTACTTTCTAGACGACCCTCTTTACTAAGTATAGAACTCTACAATCGCTTGGGTACCTGGCAATGTATCCACTCTGGGGCCCCAGTCCATTACGATCGTCCATCACTCGTTGAGGTTGGTTGTTGACAACCTTACCATCGTCATTGCCCTTCCAGGTCCCTTCATCCTCCTTGAATGATGCTGATCTGAAATGATTGAGCAAACAATTAAATCAAGTAGTAGGCTTACTAGACTTAACTTGAAGTTGCCTTTAATCTGTAAACCGCAGCGGATAAAACCAGCCTGTGATTTCTATGAAGCCAGTGTTTACAAACTTTCATGTTTATCCACAAGTAAACATTATTGCAAATTGTGAGCGGAACTTTGGTGCATATTTAAACCCAAATATGAGTGATGGATGAGTGTAGGTAGAACGAAGTGAGATGCCTTGTGTAGTTTTTTTTACTGAGTAAGATCAGCTGTTTCATTACGCAAGACCATTGAAAAGAGCAATGATCAAGAACAGGTAAGTCTAGTTTCAATCTATTGAAAGTGTCTTGACTTTTCACAGGATCGAACCGGCACAATTTTGATTGTAAGGCGAGCACTATACCCAGGTAGGTATGTGTAACACTCACTTGTTGCAAGGCAGCACACAGAGGCCGCAGCACTTCTCCATCCCTGTCAGGTTCTTCTCAGCTTCCTTCATGTCCGCGTTGATCTGGTCCATCCCCTCCTCGATGCGGTCCAGTTGTTCTGTGAGTCAAAACATCAACCCTCTGTCAGTGATTTAATCTCCACTTTATACTGGTTATCATGATTTTTGGGCGTACTAAAACTGGGATAATTTTCAACACCAGCTCCAAAACTTTTATTTTCAGAATAGAATAGTATTTTTTTATTCTACAAAAACCTGTAATATTGTTATTTATTTTACAGTTACAGTTGTACTAGAGTATACTGGAATGTATAACCCCACCCCATAAATATATACAGTAAAGTAAGGAAGTAAAATAAGCATTCCATTTTAAGTATAAATAATTTTGACTGGGGAACAGAAGGTATTGTACTGCCAATATAAAGTTAACTGTGTGCGGTAATAATTTTTGTAAACAATATCAATGATTAGACAAAATGTCAATAAATAGAGCTTACGTTTCCTAGTATTTCAAGTAGTTGTAACCACTACAATATACTTCTGTTATGTTTCTGAAAAATATTTAGAATTATTATAATTTTCAAATAAAACTAATCCATCCTTTAAAAGAACTTAAAGTACAGTATATAGTTTGAGTACACCCAATTGAAAAACTTAACAGCACATAAGTTCAAGTGATCAAAAATATTAACAAATTTTGTTATCATGACTACCCATTCTGAATTTTATTGCTTTTGGGTACCTATTTTATATAACTGCAATAAAACTAGTAAGCATTGAATATGAAATAACGTTAAAATATACCATTTACATATTTGTCAATAATAAATAGCATGCTAAATAATATTGGTTGGCATGCATTATTAGTAAATAACCTGTATTTTTCAAATTATACTATTTTTACATAATAAAGGTAAAACACACAACACATATACCAGGATACTCCTGATGACAGCTGTAAATCATATATTAGCAAGTACCAGGTAAAGAAGTTAGAAAAACTAATACAGTAAAACCTCATTGAAGCGGAGCAACCAATGCATCAGAGGTACAGTCGGAAAATCAACTATGGTGTGTGAAAACAGGGGAAACATGATCACTGCTCCATTATGTGCTTGTTGTAATCCTAATTATGTGCAATAGTAAATAAATGTATATTAAATGCAAGTTATATTTTAAGTTATTTATTCCGAACCGGTCCGGGTTATTCAGGGATCTGACTTAAAGGGGCCGACTTAACAAGGTTGTACTGTACTTGAAACTGAGGCTAACTTCACAACTATCCAAATGTACAAATATTAATTTATGGATAAGGGCCTATTAATACATTTTTTATACATACAACTGTGAAACTATACAAATTATATATTGGTTTGAAAGATCTATATATATTTTTTCTAAATGTAGAATATTTGGTCAACTACAACTTAATGGATACTAATAAGACAAAAAATAAGTACCTAAACAATAATATAAATGTATTTTTAACTTTGTATATCAAAATGCTAGATTGTTTCGTGTTTAAATTGATTTATAAACACAATTTTTTAAATCATCTTGAGAGTGTGGTTACCCAAAACTGTTTTTATTATGTTAATGCAATTAAGTTACTTCAAAATGAGCATGTTTGTTACTGTATGTCAATGTAGTTCCTTGAAAATTAACAGGAATCTAACTCATTCATCATATTAGTCCTGTATAACAATTATTTTAAACAATAAAAATACTTATGATAAAAAATTGTATTTCATAATAAATTATAACATAGTGGTAGGTTGAAAAGCTAAAAAAGTATTGAGACATTATATTTAGCAAGTTTATATTATAATGATGTATGGCTACTCAATGCTTCACTGAATAGTATTAATGAAAGCCACAGTTGTAATATCTTGATATAAATAGGATGCCCCCGGCCCCCAAGGAAGGAGGACGTACAAAACCCTCTCATACATGAGCCTTTCAAGTATTTCAGAAGTACTACAGTAGTCGGTCAAACTTCACTTAAATTGATAACATTGTTTTAGTACTTTTGTATTGGTCGGGTAGACCTCATTCTCAGGGCTGCTTTAGTAATTCAGGGGCTCAAGGATGAGAAAGGGGAGGAGGCCCAATTATCTCTTGAACCCATAGCACGACACATGCAACCGCGGCTCTGCTCATTCTGTTATCCGCATTGAAATATAAAACAATATTTTCGATTTAAGGCAGAAAACAGTGGGTAAATGTACCGAAAATATGCATATATTCATTACATTCATGTTTTTTTTTAATTCCAGATTGAAACCAGAAAAGTCCGATCTAAAAAGCTCCGATCTAAGTTTATTAAAATGCTTACTGAAATATTGACGTTTGACTACACTGATTCATATATGAGAGGTATGATTTAAGAACTAATATACACATAAATGGTTATATTTGCTATACTAACAGCAATGTTTATAGAATATTTATTTTTATTAACGTTTTGTTTGAGGTATACACAAGACTCAACAAAATACTAGTAGTATGTTAACATTTGTTGACAATTATGAGAATAAGAGTAGTTTTCAGGATTTTGATTATGTTTGAACAATGAAAGGTTAAATGTTTTTGGTTAATCCAAGCTAGTCATATAAAATCAAGCCTTATTTATGGTTCCATTGTGCTTTACAATTTTTGGTTGGATTCTAAAAAATTTTTGATTTTTATTTATTAATTATATTTAATAATATTGTTTGTCTTGAACATTGATGTTGAAAAGGCATGTTTGTACTTGACCATTCCCTCTCCTCAGCATCTTCTGTCACTCTGATGGTTTGTTTTGCAAGTCTGGTATTTGGTTGAGTCTTGCGTGTACCGTGTAAGTGTCGTGGAAGGATTGAGAAGGTTATAGCTTACCGCCTTGCTCATCCAACATGACTAGAGATCTCATGCCGACCTCATGACTCTACAACAACACACCCCGTCTGAGTAACTACCCTCCATCCTAGCGTTATTGCCACCAAACAGTCTCACACATAAATACAACTATTTTCTTTCAAGTTTTAGAAGAAACTGTTTGCGTGCACTACTTAATCTATGTTAGTTGCTTATATAACGTTAATGTTAACCAAGCGAATCCCAATGCCGATGGTATTAGTAGGTTAAGGTGAAGGAGACCTGTAACAACCGCATGACCGCCTTACCCTTCTGGTGGTCTAGCATCTCCAGCGTCTTGGCTCCAGCATCCTCACTCTGGCCACAAAAATCACTTTAAAATCAATCCAAACAAACAGTACAACTAAACAGAAATAAATCATAAATCAAAATAATTATTACTCGATACACAAAAACATTGTTGGTTCTTGTTCTTGGGTAAACAGTTTTCAGCAAGAATAAAAACTCTTACACGATATAAATAAATACATCCCTATCACTAAGCTCAGTAAAATTGATTGTAATGTGTAACAATTAGCTTAGTATATGATTATCTTTGAATACGAAAGAAAATATTCTTTGACTAACCAATTTGAGAGATAATGAAAAATTATTTGTATTTCATACGTGTAATCGATATGTTCCTTAGTAAAATGTTGAGGCAGGAATGGACAGTAGTTGAATGTTGGTCTGTTGTTTGTGTTTGAGTGGTGGTGTGTGGACTCCACACAACAACTGGTCTACGGTGCAACCAACACACAACATTGAAGCGATATCTGCACATGAAGCAACACTCACAACACCATCTGCTGCCGACCCTCCACCATCCGTATTTACAACATTCACCTCTTTCAGTTCAAATAAATTCTACATTTATTTAAACTTCCATAAAATTGCCATGGAAAATCCCAAGAGAAACATTAGACAAAACATATCACTCACTCTCTGTGTTTCAAAAGTCCCAGAGTGGATGATTTTTTTGCTTAAGTAAATCATTATTGTCGGGACCACGTAAGTTTGCAGTTGGTGGCAGCCAATCACAAGACAAGGCTAGTGCGACGTTGTCACATCGCCCATTGACAACACTAATTAAAATATAAAAGCAATATTTTCAAATCAGCTGGTATTATTAATTTGGCAACACCGCACCGTTCTCATTGGTTCATTCAAAACCATATGGTAAATAGGCTCCTCCCTCAACTGCAAACTTATGTGGTCCCGACAATAATGTATATTTTACTAAACAGTTACAACAAACTACTATTAGTTTATATCATGATTTGGAGTAATTAGCTTGGTGGCTGAGTGTTAATAAAGCAACACATGTTAACATTAATAAACAAAACAAAATGTTAAAACCCCAATTGAATCATTACTGTGAAGTATGTACTAGCATGGTGTTGCTCTCTCTGTGGTACAGGTACAAGCAAGGTTTCAACATTCAAATTCCAGGATAAAATATTTTCCAAAGACCATTGAAAGACTTTGAAGCCTGGCCAGTGGTCAGAACAAGCCAGTCTCAAGGACAAAGGCACAACTTCAAGGCCAGATTACATCCTTTTCTTAATTGTCCTTTTATAATTTTTGGTTTTGTAATCAAACGCTTTTACATTTATCTATGCATTTAGGGCATATTCTTCCAAATACATTTTGGAAGCTGAAGGGGGGGGGGTATGAATATATACCAAAAAGTAATTTTATGCAGTTTTATAATTTTGTTTGTTATGGAAGTAATTGGAATAGTCTAGGACTTTTTGAACATACTCAAACTATTATTGTATCAAACCTGTATTTACACCACATAACAAAATTGTCTGAATAGCGTAAAACACTTAATTTAATTACCATTTCAATATGTAAGTATATATTTACAAAACTTAGTTTTTTGGTTTCAATATTTATTACTAGTCCTAATTTCTAAAGCAGGTAGAGCAGCATATGAAAGGGAAACGTAGAAAAAGTGAAATGTCAGGAGATATAAACGGATAGGCTATTTATAAGTAGAAAGAAGATAACTAGGTAATCAGAAATTCCTACACTAGGAATAAGATTGGTAAGTTTCCCTTCAAATACAATTATTAGGAATATATTAACGCGTTAAAATTTGCTTATTTTTATGAATCAAGATCAATTAAAATAACTAGTAGTGTTGATAATACCTGATAAATCGTCATCTACTCTGAATGGTTATAATTGCAGTAATTGTGGTTTAATGAGTAACACTATTAACTGCAGAGTGAAATGCTGTTTGTTGTGTATCTCCAGATATTTTTTAGCTATTGCACCTATTCCAAGTGAAATAATATGTTATTTGTATCCTTATAATAATTGAAAATCTGTTTATAATAGCTCAAAACCAATCTTGATTGCTTTTGACACCGACCTATCTAATGGCCAAGACATTATTTTTAAGGAAGAACCGTTGCAGTTAATTTACAGCTACACAACAAATGTGGGATTACTTAATAAACCTTAGGCAAAACAAGGGTTTACATTAAGTAGTTCCAATATCATTGATATCCCTAGAACAACACAGTAAACCTGAAAAAAATGTACAAACCTATCATGCAGTCAATTTAAATGTAACTCCAGATTTTTGTTTATAACATAAGAGAATATTCGTATATTTTTACATCAGTGAGAAACTATTATCTCAAACAAATTTAAACGTGTTTCTCAGAACCATAAGTAATATTTTTTGATCACTTGAGAGGAGCGACGTAATGGCGTACCAACCTTATACACTCAAATGTACAAAAGACAAGGAGAGATCCAAGAAGCCATGCAAGCACGTGGGGTTATGTACAGAGAGCATGTCACTGTCACGTGATGTACATGTGAGTGATAATGTTGGTGGACCATCGCATCTACAGAGTACAGACTGATACTGTTAGTTAGGGTAGGTTGTGTGGACAACTCACCTCCCTGGTCATCCAAGGCAACCAAAGTGCGGATGCCAGCCTCCTTGCTCTGGCAGCGTAAAAACAAAGAGTTATGTAAGTATGTTGTACTGTATACTGTATACTGCCATGTAGGTATGGTTATGGTGTGCTGTAGTGGCGGACATGCTCGTGGGGGGCTCACTGTCAAAGCAATTCCTTTCATGCAGATTCATCACCTTCAAACTCGCAGATACTAATACCAGTACTTAAGTTTAAACTTAAAATATTCAAATCTTGGGTTTTCATTACATCCCTCCCCCACAATCTACTTCTTTTCATATCACCTTAAGACTCTTAGCATTCAACTAGCACAAGGAATTCGTGAATTATGAATATCCACCTACTAAATGTTTCCTAATATAAATTTTAACTACTTCCTCCTCTAAAGAAAAACATTACAAGTTTTCATTTCTAATGATGAGAACTATTTATTGAAGTCTTTTTACCAATAAAGCTAGTTATTAAAAAGATCATTGAGACTTATACAGTTTTGTTCACAGGATAGACGAGCGGTATTAAGGTTTGCAAAAGTACTAGTTAATGTAGTACAACAATGTATGTTGCTTTTATAGCTTTGTACACTACTACTTCAGACACTTTGTGACCTTGAGGTAATTCTACTCGTACTATTGAATAAACAAACCGAAAATAAATTTGCAATAATTAGTACAAATTTTTACCTAACACTTGTGTAAAATAGTTTTAATCTCGATTTGCGGCGGAACGGCGTTCCGGTACCTCTCCTTCGGAAAGTAAAAAATATTTCAATAAAAAGGTACATAAATAGGTACTAATCACATTAAATATGTTACAATTCCAGAACTTCATTGCTTACAAAACAACCATTGTAAAAACCTATATGGAAAATAATAACAATGTTGTATAAATATTCAACACAATACAGATAACTTAGACATCTCCTCTGCCATATTTCATTATAATTTAGTTTACAAACATTTTGAGCTTGCAGTAGGCCTACTCTTTGAACGGGCTTTACAAGTTAGACTTCTAGATATGAAGGAATATGTTTTTTTGTTGTTGTAGGAACACATAATATCAAAGCAGCTTGGAGTTTATTGTATGTATTAAAAGTGTTATTCAGTGAGATGGTTTTCAAGGCAGTTTCCCACTCAGTTGGATTATCTATCCATTAGTTCAGAGTTTTTATTTAACTTTTATGTAACTAAAATTAGAAATTGTAAAGCCTTTTGAAAATAAATAACATAAAGGTAACATGTTTCATCGGATTACTTATAGGGAAATAATAATTTAGAACAATTAGTGAAAACGTCATGGTTGTAGCATAGATTAAACATACTCCCTTAGGGAGTATGTTTAATCTATGGTTGTAGGATTAAAATAGCACAGTTAGGTTTTTATAGACCTTAAAAAAAATAAAAACCGCGTAATCTACCCTTTCTATAGTAAATGTCTTTTAGTTAAGTTATTAAAAAATTCCACTCATTCATTGAATGTGTTATTTGGATGTATTTATCTTTTATACACGAGTTATTAATATGATTATTTAGTTAAGTATTTTCAAATTTTTTTTCCACGTATATTTCATTATTGTTCTAAATTAAAAAGGAAAAATCTTATGAATGATTGGTACAACAGATTTTTAAATGCTATTTGAAACCTATCACAATTTTTCGACTAATTATTATTGGTAGTTTTAAATTAGAGTTCATCTCATTTCTTAAAAGAATGCGTGATGAGAAATATAAGTGGATTACTAATTTGGAACATATGTGTACATATGTGTTTATTTTCAAATTTGGAAATTTTAACATTGTAATTGACAGATTCGTAATAGTGCTTTACAAATCCCTAGCTTTCAGGTCTTCGATAGTAGAATAGAAATGTATCTTTCCTACAGCTACCGAAACTATTTTTGCACTGATTATAACACAGAAAATAACTGATTCCTGGACTTAATCACTTACCAACACTCATTTTACTTCTTCAACTTCTGTTGTTAATTCAGATTTCCAAACTAAGAATAACAAAAATAACACAACTTGTGACAGTTAGGTGAGATGATATGATTTAAAAACAAATTGACGGACACTGACTATAAATAATGGTGGATGTGGATCAACTGTTACCCAGTTGTAATGACATTTGGCTGTTTTTGAAGGTCTATAAATCTAATGTGGCTGGAAGAATTGTGTGTTTTTTTAGTGAATGGTTGCAAATTATAATCATAATAAAATAAATATAGCCATACAACAAAAGAGTCGTTAGGAACAACCAAGAACCGTTTGTTAACCCTAGGTAAATACTAAATAGTAATAAAAAATACAAAAAGTACACTAAGTATGAACTGTTTTTTTACGCGTATGTAATAGTGTTAAAAAAATAAATATTTGTACATGGATTATGTTGACTGTACACATTTAATGAGGAAATGGTGTATCTCTGCTGCACTGGATTAATTTATAAAATAAATGATTCTCTCGAATGCAGCACAGTGCCAATTTGCACACTAGTTAGACAAATAAGCATTGTCAGACTCGCATTGAGGCTCCAACAAATGCTCTCATTTCTTTTTATGTTACAATACCTATTTTTGGTCTATTTGCATTTTCTACTCTTTACATTGACAATTTTAAAATTGACAGTATCCTTAAATCTTATTTAGTTGTCTAATTTGGTAAAATAATAGCTTGTTGTCTTTAGAATTAAATTTCCTACAAAAAATATCATATACATGTTTACCGTAAATCCAATAATTTTCCCGTAATTTTAGTATAATTGATAAAATTGTGAAACTATTGACACTGTTATTTTGGATTTTCTCCTGTATATTTTTTATTTGAGAGAAATTAAAAAAGCTGTAAAAGGGTTGTAGAGCGTTTTCTTGCAAACACATACATATATGTAGGTCCAGGATTCTGATGTAAATGTGGGCAGTAGTGTAGCCTAAATAGACAATACAGTAGTCGGAGTGCTCGGCGGGCGACACCGCAGAGCCGCACCATGTGACCATCGAGTATTTATATATAAATAAATGAGGACAAATGCTATTGCATGTTCGGGTTGAGAGATTAATGTATATTATTTGTGACGCTATATTATCCTAATTTGCAATTCTTTCAATAAAATTGACAGGTATCCTCAAATCTTATTAATCAACTTTCAGTTTGTTTTCAAGTGCTTTTATAGCCTAGATTAAGTCTAAGTTATCTGATGCAATAGTCTGGAATTTCTCTCTGATCGTCATAAGAGTTAGTTTTCAATTTTACAATGGATACAACTTTTAAGATTGACCTCTATCAGTTACCATCAGCTACCTTCCTATCGGCCTTTTGTTTCACTGGATAGACCAATACATACAGTACTAGCTCTTTGTTCCGCTGCATGCATCAATATATGCCAGTTATTTGTTTCACTTTATGCACTGATACATTCTTTCCAATCAAATTCTAATCACCTCAACCAAACATTTCTTCTACAGAATTAAAGAATTAGAAACATTGTTTTTAATTGACTGCTTTGACACAACTGTGGACTACTAGGATAAACCAGTCTCTGGCAATATTATTAGGGGTTAAAGTTTACTTTCATCGATAAAATTATCAAACAAAAATCTAAATTACAAATTATACATTTACACTAACACCAAATATAAATTAATATTGTAAACATTCTAGTTTTTACAGTACTGACTTTCTATTCCTTAACAGTAAACAGTATTACTAGAACAATCTCAGGTGTACACATTATTTATTATTACGCTATTACTACATTATACGTTATTGTATATTTTTCAGGTCGTGTATTGATCTGAGCATACGTTAAGTGGTGCTAGGGGTTGTACCACACACATAACTGCTGCATGTATTTTTTTTTTAATTAAGGGTGTTAGTTTCACTAGGTAATCAAGTTGGTTTTTATCGGCATAGTTTAAGATAGTTCACCATTACCTTAGTTGTAATATTCTTAATAGATGTGAACGATGTTATTAAACCCAAGAATTTAAATTAGTTTAATCTTTTAGAACATTCCAATATCCATTTATAGATAAAGTTTTCAATTTATCTGCAAATTGTAATTTATCTTGCACATAAATACTATAATCATACATTGTTTTGACACCACATTCAAAGGAAGTGCTTTGACTGAAATTAACAACACCACAGCCAATATAGAGAGAAAGCCAGGATGAGAGAGGAGGAAAGAGATAAAGATAGAGAGAAAGGGAGAGACATAGAGAAACAGCAGAGGCCAACACCCAGAAGAAGCACAAGACATGCAACACCCAACAACAATGTAGACTACATCTGTAAACACATCAACATTAACATTCTGGTATCTTGATGGTGTACCTGTAATGTGCAAGATTAGCCAATATTTGTGTTTAGAAGGAATCGAATGATCGTCATACAGTTATCATTTAACAATGACAAATTGAAATAGTGTGACATTGTTTGAATTTAAATATAACAGCACAAAATACGTAAAATATTGGACAAGATATCTTAATAAGGAAATGAACTGGTAATATTAACTTTAGTTTTTTCTTGTTGCAAGTAATTTTTTAAAAGTTTGATGCATGAGATTCTTAAAACGAATAAAACCAGAGTGTAAACAGCTTGAGGACATCATTTGTGTGATGGAATATAGAGTAAGTAAAGACAGACCTTTGTTCCTTAGAGTTTATGTAAATAATCTACAAAACTCTTAACTCTCATAACTTTAACAATCTTCTTAAGGATGTAGATTACATACCATACTATAAGTAATTTTAATTCCCTAATGAATTTTTTTTCCTAAACCAAGTTTAGATTATGCAAAAATATAACAAAAAGATGTTCACAACACTTCTGTAAGTTTTAAAATTCTCAGATTAACTCTATTTTGATGTGTCCGCTCAAACATTTGATTTATAATGAATGACAATTAGGGATTGAGAGATGTCTGTGTGATGGCAATGGCTGATGGCACAAGTCTTGTAAATATAAAATAATACAAATTTTTAGACATTATCCTTATTCTTCATCAACGGCAAAATTAAGAGATCTTAATTTTGTGAAACACCAAGTTTTTTGAATAAAATGACCAATTATGAACAACAACAAGAAGTTCTAGATTGATTACATTAAAAACATGACACTGCTTTTGTTTACCCAAGATTATTTAGATTGACTTTTATTTATTTACAAATTGAGCTTAATTTTTCGCTCAAGTTTAAAAAAATTGATGCAACAATCGGAGCTTCTTTACCGACTCGTGTGAAATCCGGATTCCGCTGTCAAAGGGAAAACTGAAAGTTAAAATTACATTGCCAAGATCATGCAACATTAGAACTCCGCAAGTTGAAGGAAGCAGAACACCTGAAAATAAACACAGAGCGTAGAAACCTCGGGTTTCACAGGTTGAGGTTGTGAAAAGCTGTGAAACATTCAACAGTCAAGAGAAGCACCAAACAGTCCGGGTACGGTGGGGAGGGGGATGCACAATAACACATAATGACCAAGGCATACACCAAACCATCTCCTGATGGGCAAATATATCTGAGAAGTACCAGGCTGTAGTGATTAGGAGTAAGTTATCAGTCATGCTGCTGGTATGAAACATTAAAACACAATTAATTAACAGAGTATAGAAGCTACTTTGTTGACAGGAAGGTTAATGCCAGTTTGAATATTAAAACATAAAACAATAATACACCAGAGATCTTGGTTAACATAAATATTAGGTTACTTGTACAAATGTTTCTAAAATTACTTAAAACTTAGCAAAACCAACTTAATTAATAACTAATACTGTACTAATAAAAATACAGAATTTGTGGTTAGGTAAAAGAAAATGTATAAACATGTTTTAAACTTATAAAAAAATATGCTTTAAACTTAAGAACAAACTATATAGTTAAGGTTTATGAAAAAGCTAACATTCTGTATGCCCAACAAAAGATTAAGTGATCTTAATCAGTTTAAAACATGTTTGAAGCGAGCTCTAGTGGTGAAGGAGGCGCTCTCCCACATTAGCAGCTTCAGAGTCGCTCTTGTGGAGGAGAACAAGCACCCTAACTCCCAGTCTCACAACAGAGCTTCTGCACTCGTTACTTGAAGTGTCAGAGGGGATAAACAAAGCCTGTGATCATTAACCTAGGTCAAAGATGTTAATCCCCCAAAACGTTTAAACACAAACACCGAAACAACAACACTTCTGGCATTTATCATGTATAAGTGGCTGTGCAATAGCTGTTATTATAATACAAGTGGATAGAAACAAACTAGAAGGCTTTCACAGTCAAAGTGGACACCGCCAAATTGTTTTGTCTTCGGAGCAAGTCACGTCATTGAAGTGGAAATATGTTACGATTGTATTGCAGGGATTCATCTTTGGGGCAAGCAAGCTATGATTCAATTCCAGGCAAGACTCAGTTCCAAAGAACTCCAGATTTGAACAATAGCTTGCCCCAAAAAAAAACATCCATTATCTTGTATTTTCACAGCTAAACATCACAGTAAGTTCCAGAAGGCTAATATTCGACAAATAGAGCCATCTTTATGCTTTACTTTCGATAATATCCATGCCTTTACTGTATTAACATTGGACACGTAAAGACAATAATGCCAGAAAGGATATCGTTTAACAATTAAAAGTGATCGTTAAAAGTTAATTAGGGTATGTAAGCTAATCAACTATATTTTAAATTAGGTGCCACGATGCGACAAAAACGCGAGGCACCACAACATCAGAACGAACCATTTTATTAGTAGTATGTTATATTATTTAACCCAACTTCCAAAGTTTCCCATTCCACACTTTGTAAAATGTCAAGTTAAACAACAGCCACAAACTGTTAGAGCTACAATAAAGATACATAAAACTGTATGCTTACCTCCTCGCATAGTGCCAGCATACGCCGGGTGCTTTCCAGGGACTGCAAACAAACATAACAACGTTCAATATAAGAAATTATGAACACGGTTTGTAATAATACATGTTGTTTGTGTTACACTAAATTTCAAGAACAATAAGAAATTGTTAAACAAGTCTTTATTAATTCAAGTATCAAAGCGTAGTGATTCATTTGGCCACAAGATCGGTGTACAAGACCGCAAGACCCAAGGCCGGTCGTTGGGCCGTTGTAAAGATTGGATGTTTTACACAGATTCCTATCTGCTTGTAATAAGATGGGGATACAACTACAGCCCCACGAGGAAACGAGACATAAAAGTTGCAACTCATTGAAAATTTAACATTTACCATCCCCGGCGAGCTGATGGTTTGTCCCTTCTTTTGTTTAAAACACTCTATTCAACTGGTGGATTCATTAAATTTTGTAGTTCTAGAAGTTTTACGGACAAAAGTTTTACATAGTTTGAGATATGTTTTGAGTCCATACAATATGTGTATACAATTTTTAATACTTCGTCAATTAGGTAACACCATATTTTAACACTTTACATTACTAACTCCAATCTATCTCAAAAGGCAGGCGATACCCCCTTTTAGATAAGCAATTATAGGGGGTGGGTGGAACAAATGGTGGACCAGGGAATAGTCGTAATTAGGTACTTTGTTTTTTTTTTACTCTTTTTTAATTGCTAATATACTCAGCTTGAAAATTATACAAAGTAAAAGTGTTAGCAGTTGAAAACATATCACGTAGGCGGAGGCCCAGTATGCGACCATTTATTAGCCTACAGTACTGTGTACTGTCAATGGTGCAACTCATCATCATCAACAGCTAACCAAATTGTAACATGCTCTAATGTAATACGAGCATGTTTAAATAGAGCAATACTACAAACGGCATTCACTCACTGTTGAGACGAGATTCTCGTATGTATTGTTCCAATACATTTATTATACAACCTCCATTAATCAATGTGCGAACCTCAATGACAAACCCCTCGATAACAAGTCACATTTGTCTTCGTGTCATTTCCAAATATCTTCGATTTTATATTACCTCCAATCACAAACAATTACAGTCATCTTGATAACAAAAAATCTTGCTTGTTAATCCCTATGATAGACTGGTTATCGCAGTTCTACTGGTTTTATTTTGATGGATGGGGAGGGGCCGGTTCTATACAATATATAGGTAGATTATAGGTCCAGGCACGTCATAACCATGTTTAGTTATGCATTTTTTTCTACACATAATGGTTTTGTACGAGTAGCATTTATTCGTATTATTGTACTTTTTATTGACAGTTTATTCTACTAATGTTCTTAGCAATGAATTCATACAACAATATTGAATTTAATTTCGAAATTAATGCGTGGCTTGATATTTTAAGAACGTAACAAGTTGAATCAACGTATTAATTAAGGATCTTGATTATACAATAATGCAATAAGTTTTCCCAGCTAGCCTAATTCCAAACAATACCGTCATTACGAATTTTGAAACGATCATCTAAAGGATTGTTGTTTTTTCGTATTTGAACACTTTGTTGATGCGATGCATACGATAAATAATTTTCATTTTTAACTGATGTACGATAACACCCAAACCAAGCAACGCAACCGTCTATTTTTACATTTACATTGGTCGATGTATGATTTCCTTGTTGTGGAGTGTGGACAATGGAGAGTGGGTAAGGTCTGGCGAGTAGCGAGATCGATATATATACAGTACAACCAGAGCAGAGGGTGGTGGTGGTGGAGGAGGGTGAGATACGGTTGTGACGCACTCACCCGTCCACCCCTCCGACCACTTACTACCAACAGTTGTGAATCTTACAAGCAGAGTATCTGTGACAAAGAAGGCTATAGTAATCGTCACCGACTCTGAGTCACGTTTGACAGTCAACATTGACGTTTAACTTGAAAAGAAAATTGACACGCGTTTTGAATAATAATGATTAAACCTAAACTTCTGTGCTACATGAATAGGCTACTGCTAATTGCTGATATCCCAACAATTTGAATAAGTTGTTCGTAAAGTCTTAGAATACACAGTTGTGTTGTTATATGCACTGTTGTGCTTGTGCTACTTCTACGTACTCCTAGAACCATACAATTTTAACTGGTCTCGATGGCTTATTAAGCTAAATTTGCATTATTGTCGCATTAATTAATATTGTTAAGTTGTGAAAGTGTGTACGACAATTTTACATAGATTTGACCAAAAGAGTTGATTATAATATAATCGACAATGTTGATTACATTCCTATGTGTTATTGTGTTATTGTGCATGATTTCGGTTGATTTAACTCTCTTCCAAACGCCATTCAACAAGGATAGTTTCAAATAAAAATATACAACAAGGCACAAACTGTTTCCAAGAAGGGGAGTAAAAATTCAATTTAGTCTCAGGGCGCAGCAGACACGATGGGTTAAATAAACGTCGCGACTCTCAACTGATTTGACTGGGAGACAGTGTTGATTGTGTGTGGGTCTACGAGTACGGTAGCGAGTGTGAATGTTTGGTTGTTTCAGGCAAATTGGTGCCCTTCAGTTAAAACCATTGACTCGGGTAATTCAGGACAGTGTTGTGGTAACACGTCCACTGCTAATGAAATTATACTCACTATCCAGGCTTTGTAGAGGTTAACTGAAAGAAAGGACCATGAGGTCCCTAAGACCACCTCAATAAAGAAGGATTTGCATTTCATTAGCCTGGTAGTACTGACGTAACCACGAAAGTCTGTTTGACTAAGCTCATACGATTTTAACCGAATTAAAAAAAAACCACAACGATTGAAAGACAGTCAAAAGTTCCTTCAAGGACAATGAAGTATTGTTGTAATTTCGTAGGTGGAGAATCTGAAGCTTTATTCCCATCGAATAAAATATATTTTAACTTGTACATGTAGTATTTTGTTTAATTTGATGTTTATTCCTAACGTGCTGAACTGCCTCGGCTCAGTTTCGTTCGTACCTAAAGCGTTACTGTTAGCCCTTGTGTCCATTATACATTTTATACATTTCAATGAAATGGCGACCATACAAAGTAGGTATTTTAAGCCAAGTATGAATGGAGATGAGTGAAGATGAGTGGCGCTATCTTGTACTCTTGTTAGTCACTAAGGCCGACTTATTCCCTGTTAATTAATAGCACATATAGCTAATGGCAACTAAGGGACCTACAGTTGATAGTGGAATCCGAACCACATTTTTGTCTTGGTATATACGAATTGGTCTAATTTTCAGGATAGTACTGCGGATGGTCGTAGTACTCACTCGTGCGGACGTTAATCCACACCAGGGAGTATCGCATCCACAGTGCTTGCCTATAAATATCCACAATTCGTAACCTCCTAATAGCTGGATTACAGGACAACGCCACCCGTCCCAGTTATAGCAATGTTAATTTTCGTTAAACAACATTTTAAGGCCTCTGCACTGAAACATGTTGATTCATCCATTCAATTTCAACCTCCCCCCTCCTCCCGAGGACGATTGACAATCAATAGTATTTAATTGGCCGGAAGTTGTATTGAAGAGAACTGTTTCTCTAGAGATAAACGAGTTCCCTTTAATGGAAATACTGCTGTAAAAACAAGCTGTATTAGAATTCGATTCCAAATTTTACTATGCGAACACATCCTCAACAAGAGGCGTAACCAGGCCACGGTAGTGATTTAGAAAAACACACAAGATGCAAACTAAGTACCTACTTCTTTCGTACCAAATTTGAAAAGTAATTTGAAGAATACGCCTTTTCTAATTCCTTGTGTTTTTAAACCAATAATTATATATTTTTTTATATTCAGCTTTCTCGTAAACGCAATTCATTAAAGATGTAAAATCACTTGAAACTTATCTATGGTTATATAATCAACAACTCACTTTTCAATACAGTAGTAGTTTCGAATAAATTATTTAAAAACAATGCAACAATCACAATAAAATGTATCTTATGAACATTGACTTTAAAAAATGCTGGTTTTCACCGAATGAGATCACTAAACAGATTTGTTGTACAGTCAGCTCAATTGTTTAATCATCGTCATTAGGCCTATGTGTTCCCTGGAGATGACTTGACAGGAAAGGGTAAGGTACGTACCGAGTGGCTGTTTAGCACGAGTAGGAGTGGGCTACGATGTGTTTGTTCTATTATAAGCCGTCGAAGAAACATAGATGTTTGCCGATCTCTATCTCGTGACACGCAGGTCGCACGCAGGGGAGAAACCTTAGGTATATTGTGGAACGTTGTGAATTTACATCATGTAATAGCATAACAGTATTTACCCGACAAAGTGGGCTACCTTGCACTAATTATCGTACAGAAAACTGCCAATTGCTGCATTTACTTTACAGCACACTTTTTACTTTGTCGCACACCAGCATTCCAACCAAACTACACAATACAGCGTGCTTTTATTATGCACGTAATGCGTGTACGCTTGGAAATATGTAGGCAACACTAGATACTATGCCTACTACTATGATCAGCTGTTGCCCCACTAGTTACACAGATAACTATTGGGAGACTGTAAATGTCCTGTGTATGCTCGTTATTTAACCTGTAGCCACAGTTTGATTCACCTGACCACTAGTAATTAAATGAGAATCGTTCTTGCTATGTCACGATCTATGTATTTTGTGAAAATCATATTAATGGTTTTAAGTAATAGTAACATTTGCAATTTCAATCATTTTAGCCTCTGGATTGCTTATATATTAATTGATATTATAAAGCCTTACCTTAGCAATCCTGTTTGCCTAAAACAGGATTGCTAAGGTAAGGCCTTATAATATCAATTTGCAATTTGCTGTCAAGTCCTCCTGGCTCCCAAGTACATATATTTCAAAAGTAATATGGCAATATATATACAATTGATGAAAATATTTAAATACAATAATTATTTTAAGCGTCATATCTTTTTCTAATTATTTCAACATGTGGCCGATGCTCCTGTACACTTAAAAGGATACACAAAGGATAACAAAGGACTACAAAGGATAGTTAAAACGTTCCAAACAAAGTATGAGTAAATTTATACACACTTTCCACATTAGCTCCATATGCGGTTGTTGAAGAATCTTATGCATTATTCCAACCCTTTCGGAATAATGCACTACCGTACTATAATGTACTACTGTATTTCGGAAAGAGAGTGTATTTCGTGATTACCCTTTAGAGTTTCGTAGTCGCATGTTTACTGAAATTTCACATATATTAACTGTTTGGTACGATGAAATGTTTTGCCAATCATTTCAATTTATTGATCAAACCAAGCTTAGCTGGTTTATTTTAGAAAAACCTCAGGCCCATGAAAGGAAATAATCTTTAGTAGTAACACTGGTATGTTTCTAATTATTGGCTACAAATAAATATAGGTCATCGAATAAAAAACTGACCGAAAGAAACTCTTTTAAAGAACCTAGTGAGTCTCACTATTCCGAGGTACGGTGGTACCTACTAATAATTATGCCAAATATACAGATCGCTTGTGGCTGAATGTAATTTCTCTTTTCAGAAGCCAACCGGTGGCGACCAATGATTTGGTCAAATCACGTTTGCTGTCCCACCAATATTAAACCTTAAAGTATTCATGAATTGTATCAGTACGAGAATTTGTATGCTGTACTGTTCTTGTGGCAAACAAAAGTATTTTAAGACATTTTGATGGCAATACAATCTGTAATCTGTGTTATCTTATCTCTACAAACTGTTTCGGAACGATCATCAAGACTTGTTCCTTCCGGCTACGACTACCCGGTATTCGTTTCATTGTTCAACCACTGTAAACACACTGTATATGAAGTATTTATTGCATTCCTTGTCTTGCACCGAGCTGACTGCCAATGAAAAGTGTTCCTCCTAGGTTAGGTCTTACATCAAATCGTATCTGTATTACAATATTTCTAAAGTAAAAAGTTTTAAGATTGATGGACAGCTAGGCGTTAAGTAATTTGACAAATGACTGTAGGTTATCAATGCAGTAATAAAACAAATTTAAATATATATTTTAAATGTGGATCGTTGTGTAGGCCTATACACTCACAAAGCTGGGAGTATATAAATTTACCACAAATTAGGAATTAAATGTAAAATTTAAAAATAACTAATATTCGGTGATTGGTGGTTTAAAACATAGGACGAGAAAATACGAGGAAGCCCCCTGATGTTCAGACCTAGATTTGTTCATGTTCCCTGCCAACTTCAAATGTTTTGTACTTAGCTATTATACATTTAATTTAAACAATGTAATATCAAAAGAATTAAATTATTGTAGGAGATAAATTACATAATTTCTTACCCTAATAATTAAGTAGGTACGGTGCTTAAGATAACAACGAACAATCAAACATGTATAGAGAATATTGAAGTAAATAGATTAATTTAGACTGGGACGGTGGCGTCGTACTGTAATCCAGCTACTGGGAGGTACCGATTTGTGGATATTTAGAGGAATGCACTGTGGATGCGATGCTCCCTGGTGTGGATTAACGTCCGCACTAGTGAGCACTACGAATATCCGCAGTACTATCCTCATAATGAGACCAATTCGTTAATACCAAGGCAAAAGTGGTACTAACAAGACTACAAGACGCCACTCATCCTCCACTCATATATGGGTTAAAATACGCACATAGTGGCGTCCCCATCTTAAATAATTGATATAATTGATAATTTTATAATGTAAGCATTAAAAAGTCAAGTATAAAAAATGAAATTTTATCAGTTCATTCTATAATAAACAAATTACAGGATATTTCCTTTTTATATTTTCTTTCCTGCATTTTAATGGCTCAACATTTCGATCCTCGAAGTTTCCAGATTAACTACAAGGAAGAGAAATACATTTGGCCAGTCGCAAAAATAATGTCCGCATCAATAGCCTAAAACAGGATTTTCATGAATTTATTCATTCATCTTTGAATGTAAAACTGTCATTCATTCATCCATCCACGAGTCTAAAACTGTTACATAATACTGATATTTCGAACCCATTTTCACTGGTTCAGAGAAACATAAACAAGATTAGACGTTTCTAAATTGGTATCTGGCTGAACTTTTAATTGTTTTCTAGCAGTAAGGCATCGGACCGAAATCCTTTATGTAATCGTTTTTATACATTTTAGCATGATACGATCGATATCTTTGGAAAAGGATACTGGGCTGATGGAAGAGAAATTTTTGCGAAGGGAAATGAGTGTGATTGATTGTCGGACCGGTCAATTGGGCGTTAGTTTATTTGGACGTTTCGCCGACTCACAGATTCTTACAGTTGGTGAACTGACTTACCTCATTGGTGACCTCTCCCGCCTTGAGTTGCAGTTCCTGGAGCTCGGTCTTGGGCGGGCCGGGCTCGGCGGCGGGGGGCGCTGGAGCCGGCATCCTGCAAAACATACCACACACAATCAAAACACAGCACTGAAACTATGACAATACAGTAGTACAATAATCAACCACCAACACCATCAAACTCCTATCCCATATTTTGTACGGTATTTCTTGGGACCAAGCGATTTCTTTTATATGCAGTACTAACTGTTGCCCGTCGGCTTCGCCGGTTCGCCCCATACTTATGAGTTTTATGAATTGGATGAAGCTGTGACTTTGCTACGGGTTAAAATGACCTTTTGAATTAATTTGCCATATAGTAGAAGTTATTAAGGATTGAATACATTTACATATAATCACCTAAGCCGATTAAACGTATGTGACTATACTACAGACGTAAAACTGAGGTAGAACTTCTTCACTTTAAAATGAACTCCCCCTATAACAGGGGCTACGAATCGCTCTCTCTGGAACAAACTACACAAGCTTAAGCCTTTAACCAAAATACTATTTCCGCTCTATCTCCTTTCACTTATAATTAAAAACCGAACTTGTACAGAATAGTAATTTCTTTCGTAGCTTTATTGAAAATATTATACATAGTATTATATTTCTTATTTGATTGGTATTGAGAAACAACATAACCTGCCACTATTTTCGAACATAAAAAAGTAACACTATTTTGTGGCAAAATGTTCTCTGATGCATTTAAAAACACTTTGGATACTCCCTTACTTACCCTTTAAATATTAACAATGGGAACATGGTAGTGGAATACAATGTCAAATTTTAGCCATAGTCAAAAATATCACGAACCGGAGTAAACATCGTAATCTCAACTCCTCAGAACTTGAAGAAAGTATTATAAAGGATAGTGCGATACAAGCTCTGGTTGTACAATACGTCTATGTCGCATAGCATTGTATAGTTGGTGGTTGTTGTGAAGGTCAACGATATTGCTGGATCTCACGCTATGTTGTAGTTGGAGAGGTCACCGCCTACCGCCTACACCTAGTCCTACACCCATCGTGTCATCGTCTACGTCTACACTCTGGCTGTACAATACGTCTATGTCGCATAGCATTGTATAGTTGGTGGTTGTTGTGAAGGTCAACGATATTGCTGGATCTCACGCTATGTTGTAGTTGGAGAGGTCACCGCCTACCGCCTACACCTAGTCCTACACCCATCGTGTCATCGTCTACGTCTACACTCTGGCTGTACAATACGTCTATGTCGCATAGCATTGTATAGTTGGTGGTTGTTGTGAAGGTCAACGATATTGCTGGATCTCACGCTATGTTGTAGTTGGAGAGGTCACCGCCTACCGCCTACACCTAGTCCTACACCCATCGTGTCATCGTCTACGTCTACACTCTGGCTGTACAATACGTCTATGTCGCATAGCATTGTATAGTTGGTGGTTGTTGTGAAGGTCAACGATATTGCTGGATCTCACGCTATGTTGTAGTTGGAGAGGTCACCGCCTACCGCCTACACCTAGTCCTACACCCATCGTGTCATCGTCTACGTCTACACTCTGGTTGTACAATACGTCTATGTCGCATAGCATTGTATAGTTGGTGGTTGTTGTGAAGGTCAACGATATTGCTGGATCTCACGCTATGTTGTAGTTGGAGAGGTCACCGCCTACCGCCTACACCTAGTCCTACACCCATCGTGTCATCGTCTACGTCTACACTCTGGCTGTACAATACGTCTATGTCGCATAGCATTGTATAGTTGGTGGTTGTTGTGAAGGTCAACGATATTGCTGGATCTCACGCTATGTTGTAGTTGGAGAGGTCACCGCCTACCGCCTACACCTAGTCCTACACCCATCGTGTCATCGTCTACGTCTACACTCTGGCTGTACAATACGTCTATGTCGCATAGCATTGTATAGTTGGTGGTTGTTGTGAAGGTCAACGATATTGCTGGATCTCACGCTATGTTGTAGTTGGAGAGGTCACCGCCTACCGCCTACACCTAGTCCTACACCCATCGTGTCATCGTCTACGTCTACACTCTGGTTGTACAATACGTCTATGTCGCATAGCATTGTATAGTTGGTGGTTGTTGTGAAGGTCAACGATATTGCTGGATCTCACGCTATGTTGTAGTTGGAGAGGTCACCGCCTACCGCCTACACCTAGTCCTACACCAATCGTGTCATCGTCTACGTCTACACTCTGGCTGTACAATACGTCTATGTCGCATAGCATTGTATAGTTGGTGGTTGTTGTGAAGGTCAACGATATTGCTGGATCTCACGCTATGTTGTAGTTGGAGAGGTCACCGCCTACCGCCTACACCTAGTCCTACACCCATCGTGTCATCGTCTACGTCTACACTCTGGTTGTACAATACGTCTATTCTATGTCGCATAGCATTGTATAGTTGGTGGTTGTTGTGAAGGTCAACGATATTGCTGGATCTCACGCTATGTTGTAGTTGGTGAGGTCACCGCCTACCGCCTACACCTAGTCCTACACCCATCGTGTCATCACAGTCTAGAGTCTACACTCTGGTTGTACAATACGTCTATGTCGCATAGCATTGTATTGTATTTTTGTATTGTTGGTGGTTGTTGTGAAGGTCAACGATATTGCTGGATCTCACGCTATGTTGTAGTTGGAGAGGTCACCGCCTACCGCCTACACCTAGTCCTACACCCATCGTGTCATCGTCTACGTCTACACTCTGGTTGCACAACACGTCACCAATGATCAAACTGACGCATTGCTGATTATCGATTTCTGTCCCACAACGACAATGCTCATTTGTACCTTTTCTGTACTAGTCTGAGGTATCTAAGGAGTGTTTTGTTGGTTGTTACTCAGTTGGTACAACTGCTGTGTGACCTTTAATGGTGAGATCATCCTTACATTACTACTTTCCTCCTCTCACTCTCCTTCGACCAAAGTCTGTTCGTGGTTACGGTTTTTTTTGGGGGGGGGGCCTACAAGTTTTTAAATTTATCAATCCATGTTTACACCAGAGCAATGATGTAGAGAAAATGGTGTTGTGTATCTTAATTTTTTACAAAATAGTAATACTATGATGACTGACGTTGGTTATGTTACGGTAATATGAATAAGTACAAATAAAAGGAAATTAACATAGTTATTAAATTATAGTAGTAAATAAAAACACAACTGAGCATCACTCTTCCACAAGTAAAAAATAAAGCACTACTGAGCACCCTGAAATAATTGTTATATAATTAAATATAATAATTTTTCAGGGTGCTCAGTTGTGCTTTATTTACTGCTATAATTATCTTATTTTCATAGAAAAGAGGACAGTAAACCGCAAAAAGAACAGCTCGAGCATAAACCAAAACTATACAGTATTTAAATATCCTGCATATAATATATAGATGTTTTGTTGAAAATAATGTATATATTATGCTCAAATATCTGAGTAGTTTAGATATATAGTATCGCCAAATAGTCAGAAAATAGCCTACATATATACAAATAGACAACCAACTGTCAAAGGGATGTTTATGTTTTGTTTAGACAATGTAGCGGAATGGCAGTCACGTGGTGCTGTAAGGTATGGTTGCTATCACAAAACATTAGAACAGAAACTGTATGGATCATGAACATAAACAAACTACGTCACTGACACCGCAAGTAAACATGTAATGATTATTATTTAAACTAAAAAAGTTGCTCTACGACGGTTTTCGACGGAAAGAGAACGCATAGAAGATAAGTTCTTCACTGACTGTCTCGTCTAATACGAATTGCTGGGCGATTGGAAGTTTGTTCTTGATGTAAATCAATTTCATTAATGTTTATGTCATTAGGAAAAAATACTCTAGAGATGATTTTTTCTATTTGGAACACTAATGCGCCATCCTAGCTAAAGGGGTCTTGTTTCACGTAATGATAGGAAACATTCGTATGCGACAACAGTTATTACTTTAGTATCCAATAGTTAATGACAATAGCCTATACGGTAGAAAACCAATGGCAAGATCCTAAGGAATATATCAGTAACAAACTAAAAAAATCATTTTAAACGTAAACAAATAATTATTAGCTGATAATGTTTTAAATGCGATTCTATTGACATTTATTGAGTACTTTGATTGAGGTTCATGTCCTTAGGAATGGGCTTTTCAGAGTAGCAAGTGTGTGGTGGAAATCTGTGTGTAAATATGTGTAACCAACGAGCATATTGAGCTGCTACCAACACGCCAGGGTTTTAACAAAGGAACATCCATATATTTGGTTCCGCACATTATCCCATTTGCCATTGTACATTCGAGTTGTGGTTTGGGTTGACTACAGTTAAATTCACGTCTATCCTAAATAAAGTACCGGTAAATAACATAACGATTAACTGAATCGCTCGCTCAGCAGCAATAACACCGTTAATTGCAACTCCCGTGTGAAAACTTGGCAAAGCTGCGGTGCACGATGTATTAATTGGCACAGTAAACACATCAATCAAGTAATTGTAAACTAGAGCAATAAATACAATTTTAGTATATCTTAAAACTTTATTAGGCTATACCATCTTTGCTTTGAAGAACAATACACGCATTTATGACAGTATGCAGTTTACATCTTTGAAAATGATTTACCTGATTGCAGATGTACTTTGTAACTTATTCAGAGCACTTAATGCAAATAATGTATATATAATATATCGCATAAACAAGTCCCAAAATCCTCCGGATCACTGGTTTAGTAACAAATAATGGTTTAAATACCTTATACTGTCAAAGTGATCCTTTGTAGTCTATATAGCTACTGCAGTTTCGTTCCCGATGGGAACTTCATCGGGCTGTCAAGGACATCAAATTTCGTTCCAGAGGAAGTCGTTGAAGTTAGAATCCAGACATCCATTTAATTAAATACAAAAGATTAAATGTTTAATGTTTAAATGTTTAAACGATTTAATTAAATGTGTGACATCGATGGATTCTAACTTCAACGACTTTCTCTGGAACGAAATTTGATGTCCTTGACAGCCCGATGAAGTTCTCATCGGGAACGAAACTGCAGTAGCTATATAGACTATAAAGGATCACTTTGA